TACATACATACATACATACATACATACATACATACATACATACATACATACATACATACATACATACATACGTACGTACGTACATACATACATATATACATAGTTCGTGCTTGGTAATTTCTTCTCAGTGTACTCTTCTCTCGCGTTGAACTGAATCAGCAACGAGAGAGTACGCTAATATCCTCCTTCTCCTCCTAACTGTGTGAGGCCTGAATTCTTCTATATCATTCTCTCTTTCTATCTTCATTTTATTTCTTTATTTTTCTTTTTATTAATAATTAAAAATTTTATCATACGTAAATTTTAACTTTTATATTTTTCACGTTAATTCTTTATTATATTATACTCTTTATTATATATATATGATATATACATATACATATATATATATATATAAACTTTTTACTTTGATATAATAAAGTTTATTCTCTCTATCTCTCTCTATCTCTCTCTTCCTTTTTTCTCTCGCGTAAAAAAAAAAAAATTTCACGTGTTAGCATTGAACGTTTAAATATAAAGTGTACTTCGACTTCTTAATTTCTATAGAATTTAATAAACTGAATTATATACAGTACGTTAAAAGCATCGACCGTGCAAATTAGTCAAATAAAAATACCGTACTCAACGAGATAAACGTTCGCGCGAAATATCTATATCCAATTATGTTAGTTTGCGTCCCTTTATTCTTCTCCAAGCCCTTTTTATATTCGAAACTCTCTTTCTCTCTCACACACACTCTCTCTCTCTCTCTCTCTCTCTCTGTAATTGACGTTGAATTCCAAAAAACTATCCATATAAAGAACAAAGTATAATAGAGGAGTACCGCTTTCGCATCCACTTCATTCGTTCAGAAAAATACGTTTAGGGAGATCTAATTCTATAGGTTCGCTTCGTTACACCGAGCCTGCCATTAGAGAGTTTCTTTCTTCGTAATTCGAATTCTACCGAGAGAAAAAAGAGAGATAGAGAGAGAGAGAGAGAGAGAGAGAGAGAAAAAGAAAGAGAGAAAGAGGAGGCTTTATGAATTTAAAACGCTTATCCGCGCGCGACGAATGGTAGTACGATTTTGACGAGCATTTTCTTTGCCAGCACGCTATACCCGCATCGTATGCAGATAGTTATATACTAAAAAAAGAAAAAAGAAAAAAAAAAAAAAAAAGAAGGCGATAACTATCTTTTACTTTTGCATGATTTTCGTTTTTCTGTTCTTCTTTTTCTTCTTCTTCTTCTTTTTCTTCCTCTTTTTTTTTTTACCTTCTTTAACATACAACACTATTCATCCACGTTAACTTACGAGATAATGGCGCACCGGCTAAGATCGATCCTTTTTTTCTTTTTTTTTTTTTTTTTTTTTTTTTCTTTTTTTACCTTATACTTGTACTTGGCCTATTAACGAACCTATAAGCGTTAAAGAGAGCCAGGAGTTTAAGCAAACAAGGAAAAAGGAAAGAGAAAGGCAGGAGGGGAAAAAAGGAAGAAGGAGAAGAAAGGAGGAGAAGAGAAAAAATTAAAAAAAAGAAAAAAAAAAAAGAAAAAAAAAAGAAAGAAAGAAAGAAGAAAAGAAAAAAAAATGAAAAGAAAGGAAACCCGTCTTTGCGAGTCACGTTTAATGTTAATACCAAACGCGCACTATACGTATATATGTAATTTCCCTCGTCTACATATGTATTTAAGCAGGTGAATATTTTTCACGTGGATTTTATCTCTCTTGCATTTAGACGTAAGTCGTAACGTAAGCACGTAAGCTCAAAATATCTAAGCGATATTTAGAAAACGTTTGAGAAAATCTATAGGCGTTAGACGGAGAAAGAAAAAGACCGCATAGAACTTATACTATAATTTATTCCAGTGGAAAGAGAGAGAGAGAGAGAGAGAGAGAGAGAGAGAGAGAAAGAGAGAGAAAGAATTATCGATGATTGAAAGAGAGAGAGAGAGAGAGAGAGAGAGAGAGAGAGGGTAGAGAAAAACAAGATATGTTATCATTGAGGAAAAAAAAAAAGAAGAAAAAGAAAAAGAAAAGAAAAGAAAAGAAAAAGTCAAACACAATGAGATATAGAGAATAAACGTAATTAAAAGTTTGTCAGATTACATAATAATCAGATGAGAAAACAATGTTACTTTTGAAATAATAAATTTCTCCGGAATTTCAAAATTTCAAAAAGCGATAACAATCACTGTAGAATAATCTAAACGCTTACGTTCAAACTCGAGGTCCTGTTGTAAAACTGGCATAACCCACTTTAGTCAAGTGTACTCTCAGTCATTCGAGTCAGTTTGCTCGAACGCGAGAATTAGTGTCTGAAGTCGACTCGAAATATGGCAAGACAGGTGATTTCCGCGTATTTCTAACTGCCAGTGCGGCGCAATTGTTTCCCGTAATGGAAATCACTGGCTAAAGTCAAACCACGAAGGGCTTTGGTGGATGGACGTCGAGGAGAAATGAAGAGAGGATAGAGGAGAGAGGAGGGGAGTGGAGGGTGGAACGTGAGAAAATTCTTATTAAGCCGCGCGTTAAGTACCTACATCTATGTACGTTTGAGCTAGTCTACGCATGGCAGGAGTATGGGAATTTTGTTGGATCAAAGGAATCGTGGAATTTCTCTTGTAAGTGACGAAGAAAAAGAATTATTACTTTCCACGATAGTTACGTACATATCTCTCTCTCTCTCTGTCTCTCTCTCTTTTTCTCTATCTATTGCTACGTCCTTATTTAATTCTTTTGTATTTGCAACTCGTTCAATTCGTTCGAGTTATTTTTATTTTGTATGTCGCATGAAATCTTACATCGACATTTTATGATAATTATTTTCATTAAAATAAAGTAGATTCATTTTTTTTTTCTTTTTCTTCAATAAAAAAAAGAAAAATATTTTTAATACGACTTTAGTTCTTAACAAATTAATAAAAAGAGTGAGAGAGAGAGAGAGAGAGAGAGAGAGGGAGAGGAAAAAAATATATATATATGTATATATATCAAGTATCATAAACGGTTAAACGATCGATATATATTCTAATCGCAATTTATTTTTAATAATTGATATCAATATTAAAATTTAACGAGATATTAAATGCAGAAACATAGAATAAACATATAATCTAACTTTTATTATTTTCTTTAGAACGTTCGATTTCCATCTTTGTAACGGATAATCGATCGCCACTTGATTTTTATAATAAAATCATTGATCGATCGAGAATTATCCTTTACGTAGGTATCTAATATTTCATTAGTTAGTAATCATGAACTGGGTCGCCTTTGATAAATGTTTATTTCGCGTGCGATACCGGTGGATACAACATCGGTGGCATTGCGTGCCGGATTATATTTGCAAATATTACCGGCCATGAATAGCGCGTTTTATCGTAAGACTCATTCGCAAACTTATACGACTTATCGATAGGTATTAGAAAGAAAATAACTTTGTACTGTAATTTGTGGTAATCATTATCCATTAATAATTATCAATCATTAATAATTATCCATTATTTTTTGTAGAAAATGAAATAAAATAGAAGCAAAAGGAAGAAACAAACAAAAAAAAAAAAAAAAGAAGAAGAAGAAAAATACAAAACAAACGAACAAGAAGAAAGATAGCATCAAATCGTTGAAGAAAAAAAAAGAAAAAAAAAAAGAAAAAAAAAAGAGGATATCGATATCGCTTCGAAAATGTACAAGAAAAAAAAAAAGAAAAAGAAATATTGAAGAAAAGAAGAGAAAAGGAAAGAGAGAAAAGTTGATGTGTAATTACGCAAACGTTTGCCGGATTCCGCTTCGCGGTACTGCTGACGACGGCAACGGTGGCGTCGGGAACGGCGGCGTCGGCGGTGGCGGTGGCGGCGGCGGCGGCGGCGGCGGCGATGGCGGTGGCGGCGGCGGATGTATTTTCAAACAGCGCTCGTCTTCGAATGGCTCACGGAATCGCATAAATTACTTCGCGCTTGACTTATTCGCACGAGCCTTCCGACCTATTCTCGGTAAGCCGTAACGAGTTGCTTTCATGACGCGGATTGTTCGCCGTCAAAATGCAACTCAAACGTTGCAAACGAGAGGACGTGAAACTTTCGAACTGGTCGAAGGACGTCTTTTGAAGGATTTTCATTAGAGATGATTTTCTTTGATTATTCTTCAAGATAGATATTCAAAATAGAGAAAGAGAAAAAAAATAGAGAGCGAGAGAGAGAGAGAGAGAGAAAGTGTTCGCGAAATTTTTTTTATAAAAAAAATTTTCTTCCATATACATATATACATAAGGCCGTACTTAAAGAAAATTTTATGAAATTTTGTATTAATTCGATTATCTTGATGACTCGTCTTACAATTAGCGCGATAATGATTTAACACGGATTTCCGCGAGAGACACGGTAGCATAAGCGTGACAGGCGTTACCGGCGTGCGATCTCGCTTAATGACCGTACGGAGAAAAATGAGGACCTGTGGGCGGTCGTGTAAACACGCTCCGCTATGAATGAACGTCGGAGTAACGTAATAAATAAACTCGCTATCGACTTAAAGAGGAAGCGGAAAGAGATCGCCGGGAACGATCTCTCTTGACTGTTCGTCGTCATCGACGCCGTCATGCGAGCACCGTGTTTTCTCTTACTTGAACAATTGGTGTATTCCGAGCTTAAATTGTTATTTTCTTTTGTCTTTTTTTTTTGTTTTTTTGTTTTCTTTTTTTTGTTACATCAAAAAGTATCACAAGGAGAATTGATTTAATATCGATCGGAAATATCTAATCACAATTTATCATTTTTAATTCACTTTTAACTTTAAAAGAATCGTACTATTTATATGATTTTTCATTCCCTACTTTTTCTTTTTTTTTTTTTTTCGATCTTACTTAAAAGAACATTTAATGTTCTTGTTGACTAAAGTAAAAATAATTTTTATGCTGACACGAAAGAAAAATAATTTGTGGATTGTAAAAAGTTTTCAATATCTATTACGTTCAATAAAACTATTCGAAAGGAAATATCTTGACAAAATTTATATGACTCACCTATAATAATCCTTCTTGCAATATATGTTCCCATTCCTACAGAAACAGGTGACTTCGTTATCGAGACCCTGACGACAGTGAGAACACTGAAGACACGAAGCATGCCATCTCCTGTCGACCGCCTGAAGATAATACCTGTCGGATATCCTTAATCCACAACCCGCACAGACAACTCCAGGAACATCCTCGGATTGTGCCGGTGGCGTTGGTGGTGGCTCGAGTTTCGGAATGGTCTGCAAATGCTCGGAGGTTTGTTGCTCTTGCGTATGAGTTTGCGCATGTAAATGCGAATGATGATGGTGGTGATGATGATGATGAGTCCCTTGTGGTGGCATACTCAAGTCACTTGGATTATTATCGAAACTACCGTTGTTGTTTCTGTACTCCGATCCACCTGTCGAATTATTATCATTTTTTTTATTCTTTTTTTCTTTTTTCTTTTCTTTTTTTTGCTTACACCCGTAAACCAGCAACACGATTGTTCGATTGTTATTCGAAGTTAATGCAATAAAATAATTATACGAGTTATAACATAATACGATATGTTAAAAAAAATGATAAATGAGAAAAGATTTTATCGGGCATTAAATAAGTTAAAGAATACTGGCTCGTTATATCATAATAAATATATCATAAAATCATACTAAACTGAAGAATATTGTATAACTACAAGTTTCTTTAATTATTAACTTCTTTGATTCTAATAAAATTATTAATTACAAAGCTAAAACGTTAATGAGACATTTATATAGATATAATAAAACAAAATTTGATCGTACTATTTTGTGATTATATTAAAAGAAAAGAAAAAAAAAAAAAAGGAAACAATTTCAATTTAGATAAAATTATTATAAGTCTAACAATAATAATAATTATTATTATTATTATATAAATATAAAGTTATTATAAATAGGTTCATTAATAAATCTTTATTCTTAAACATAATAAATAATGAAAAACTAACCTCCAGGCGAATCGTAGTCCCTAGAATCGTAGGGGGTGGTTGGACCGTCGTAGCAGTTATTGTTGGTTCCGCAATGGGTTTGATGTAAAGGCGTCTGATGGGGCGTCTGATGGGACGCGTGATGGGGCGTGTGATGGGACCCGTGGTGGTGGGCGGCGGGAGGACTGCACGGTAAGGTGGTAGGTCGTGCAGCGTCGCCCATCGACGCGGGGAGGCAGGGACTTAGGTCCCTTGCCTGCTCGACTGCTCCGGGGCCCCCCGCACTACCGGGCCCCCCTTGACGCCCCACAGCCAAGCCGCTCCCGCGCTCCTGCGAGCTGGCCGGCTGTTAAAACAAACCATTGATGGATATATTTTTTTTATTTCTATAATTTTTTTTTTATATCGTCTGTATCATTCTCTCTTTCTCTCTTTTCTCTCTTTTCTATTTCCTACGCGATAGAAAAATAATCTATTAATATAAATATTAACAAATTTGTTTGATATTTTCAATTGAAGAAAAAAACAAATTTTGAAAGAAATTATTATTATACAATGACGCGACAAAAATTTGCCCTCTAACCTTAATCTCTTTCAAACTTATTATTATAGTCAATTAATTAACTTTTATAAGCTTCTTTTTTTTTGTTTCTTTTCTTCATTCGAATCTTTTATTTTTTATTTCGTAAATAGAAACGAATAATTGATATATCGATCTAACGATCTAACGATTCCTTTCCTAACTCGATAAATGTAATCAAGTTCGTAGCATAATAACGACTACTGTGTCGTAAGAAGATCATTTTAAGAGCACCCCAAAGGATAAAATCGGTAGACGAGTAGTTTTTCGGAAGATTACACGAAACGATCGAATCATACGGAAAACGAGAACTCCAAAAACCGGTCTTACAAAATGGTTCGTTCAGAGTATATACAGCGACCGTTCATCGATGCGTATCGAAAACTCACCTTCGTCTTTATCTTTCTCTCTCATTCTCTTTTTCTCTTTTTCATGATACTCGCGTGGACTCGCGTGTCATGGTATTTCAAGGTTTTCTAAGTTGGCCTTCCCTATCGATCGTATTATGGAAAATTAAAGAACGATAGAACGAGAAAGAGAGAGAGAGAGAGAGAGAAAAAGGAAGGAAAAAAAGTAATAAAGAAAGAAAAGAAAATACTCTTAAAATTTGTCCTAAACAATTGTCATCGTTACTGTTATACAAATGAAATAAATACGTGCAATTTTCGCCAATGCTCTTTTAACCTACATAGCATAAAATTGCCATTGTCCCTATGGCTCGAGAATGATCGATAAAAAGAAAAAAAAAAAAAGAAAAAAAAAAGTGGCCACGAGAAGATCGAGGAAGATCGATGCAGGAAGCGATCAATGCGACGACGGATCATGATCGATCGACAGGTCAAACCGGTAGGAGAAATCGTTCGAGAACAAATAAAAAGAAGAAAGAACGCACGAGCGCCTCCTCCCCGATTGCGTTTCAAACGTTGCTTTCTCTGATCGCAACTTGAAAAGAGGAAGAAAGAAATAAAAAAAGAAAAAAAAGAAAGAAAAAAAGAAGAAATAAAGAGTCCAAGAGAGAGAGAGAGAGAGAGAGATAAGGAGCGCGTAGAAGAAGATAAGGAAAGCTAAAAAGAAAAGAAAAGAAAAGAAAAGGAAAGGAAAGGAAGAGAAAAAAAGAGAAAGAAAAAAAGAAAAAAGAGAAAGAGAGTCAGTCTCGATCGGGTAGCGAATCGGCGGCTCGCCTCTGATGGATGTCGCAAGGCAGTGTGCGCATGCGCGCGACCCTATAAGGCGCCCGAAGCCGACCAATCCGAGTCGCTGCCGTGTTTCAACTGTCAACGCGCTCACGGCGCGGCGTACAGCGGCGCGTACCGTGGAGACATAAATTACGACTCGAGTTGCCCTACTGTCGTCTCCCTCCCTTTTTCTCTCTTTCTCTCTATCCCTCTCTCTCTCTCTCTCTCTTTTTCTCTCTCTGTCTGTCCGTCTATCTCTTTCGCTCTTTGAGCGTTGCACAGACCTTACGTACCTACGTCTCGTGGAAAACCAATGGTGCACTTTACGACAGCAGATACCGGTATTTACTGCGCCTTAGGCGAAGCGGCACGTTTGCGATCTAGAGGCCGCCCAACGGAAATCAGGGTTGTGTGTTAAAAAGGTAGAGAGGGTAAGAAGGGGATGCGAAAGCAAAACAACCAGTGAGAAAGAGAGATGGAGGGAAGGGGAGGGGGAAAGAGAGACGAATGCTCTCTCTAAGGATGAACGTTTTCTCTCTCTCTCTCTCTCTCTCTCTTACTCGAGAAAATGGACATTTCAGGTACTTAGATAAATATATAAGTACGAAAAGAAATTCAACGGTAAAGGATTTATCGAAAATTTATACGATTTATCGATCGTTTATTGTAAATAATATAATCCTTTTGAAGATCCTTACCTTTATTACATTGATGATCATTACAAAGAATGAAAAATTTCTATTTCAATTTATTAATTTTTATTATCAAATTGTAATGAATGGATAAATACGTGTAAGAAAAAACGATTGTCCGACAACGTAGAATTACGTTCTTAACCGTTAGTTTATTTCAGATAGAGGTAGCTAGCTACTAGACGGTAGCGACCGTGTCGGACACATCGTCCCTCGTCGAAGATAATGTTTATCGGCGAGAAACTTCGCCGATAAAATCGTTCCCGCGTGGAAAGCTATCTCGTTTGTGTGCGTATGCTACCGTCTTTACTCAACACTAAATCGAACGCTCGAAGTTCTGTTATAAACCGATACCACGAATACTTGGGGGTGTTATAAAAAAAAAAAGAACAAAAAAAAAAAAAACGTAAAAAGACTCGTTAAGTCGATTGAAAATATTGTTCTATCGTCTATGATAATAATAATAATAATAATAATAATAATAATAATAATAATAATAATAGATAATAATTTTAGATATTTCTATACTCATTCAAACGGAAATTTCTTATCCGAATGTGTTAAGAAAAGAAAAAGGATAGAACATTTTAAAGAACTTCACCTTATCTTTTCTCTTTAATTAGTCGTCGAAGATAACGATGCTGATTTAACAGGTAAAATATGGCCAAAGTAGAGGAATCGACTATTAACACAACTAACGACGAACAGTTAGGAAAATTCTATACCGCCTACTTAGGATTAGTTTACAAGGTGTAATGCGCACTTCTCCTCGGTACACGATCGTCGGTATTCATTCTCTCTTATGTAATATTGCGTCGGGTCAACGAAGGAATCGTTGGAACGCGCGCTTATAAGGATTGCTGGAATAACTCTTCGTTGGCGAGCGTGCGAGGAACTTGATTTGTTACTTTCTGTCTTCGTCGTTAAAACGAACTCGAAGAACAACAATGGATTCACCAAAATTTACTTCACCAATTGTGACGTAATTTTCATTAAATAAGTGGAATGACTAACTCGATGCTATTTCGTTGAAAGAAGAAAAGAGAGAAAAAAGAAATACAAAAAGAGAGAGATAGAGAGAGAGAGAAAACAACTTTTAAAGGTCAATTTTTCTTCTTTCGTTGTTGTCATTTATTGTTGCCATTTATTGTCATTTATTCGGCATAGTTTTAAATAGACACCTTTCCCCTTCCTCTCCTTCCTTCATCCCAACCTGGTATCTTCGATAAATCTTATAAAATTTCCCACGAAAGCTACATCGACGATCGATCTTCGTTCGAGAGATCCTTATCCATCCGCGGAGAGTGGACCCGAAGCGGCAAGGAGGCCGTGCTCGGACTGCAAAAGAGATCCAAGAGACTTTCACCGGCGGCGAACTTGCACAAGACTCCGCCTTTTTCATTTTCACGAAACGTGAAGTAAATAACGAGCGCGCGCGCGGAATCGCGAGATACCGCGAAGCGAAAAGGCACAGAATGTCGCCAGAAATGTCGGCCGACCGACCGTCCTAAGACTCGCGACCGTCCTGGAAGCCACGCTCTCCTTCCTATTGGTCCGATCTCTTCGACGTTTCTTAGGCTCCTCCATGAATCGATAACGAATCGATTCCTCGAGAATCGATTCCGACGATTACCTCTTTTTAAAAGCAAAACTCATGATTACTTTTAATCACTCTTAAGTACATATACCGATTTTGTTGTCGATGATTTACACAAAAGAGAGAGAGAGAGAAAAAAAAAAAAGAAAGAAAGAAAAGAAGAAGAAAAAAAAAAGAAAAACCAAAAAAGGAGAAAAAAATTTCGGTACGAAAATTTCTTAACAATTTTTTTCTCCTTTTTTGTTTTTCTTTTTTTTTTTCTTCTTCCTTTTTTTCTTTATTTCTTTCTTTCTTTCTTTCTTTCTTTCTTTCTTTCTTTCTTTCTTTCTTTCTTTCCCCTTAACCGGATGTAATATAGTTATATCTTCTTTTTTTCTTTTAGGCTTTTTATCTTTTATCTATCACTGACCTATTCGAAAAAGTCGATTTTCTTGCGATCCCACGAGTAGTCGTGATTGGAATAACTTTCGAGATCGTCAAGGCTGACGTTCCTTCTCTTAACGACGAAACCTCGAGAGGACGGATCATTCCGTACGAGTTGTAGCAGCAACGAGACTACTGCTGAATCTGGGTCTGTCTATTCCATTTTTTTCTTCTCTCTCTCTCTCTCTCTCTCTCTCTTTTTTGTTCTTTTCTCTCTCTCTCTTTTTTTTTATATCTCTTTTCTCTCTTTCTTTTTTTTTCCCTTCATCGACCAATTGCTATTTTCCACGTTATAGTCACGAGGGGATCGATGTAATTGGAACGCCGTTCCTTTTGTCGCGTTATGCGATAACTTATGATTTCTGAGAAGCTCCTTACTGAATCGCGACGTTCTTAGATCGACTGACAGCTTGTATTAATCCACTTTTAGATCAGCATTATAAAGTATTTTTTCTCTCCTTTTCTTTTTTTTCTTTTTTTCTTTTTCTTTTTTTTTCGATGTAATATTTCTTAATTATCGTCGACGGCGATGAAACTCTAATAATATTAAATTCGATTAAGTAACTATATTATTAGGTAATTATATAAAATTTATATAACACGAATATATTTTCGGGAATATATTCATCAACAGATTGTATTAAAATACTATATAAAATTAATTTTCAATCGTAACATTATTAAATCCGCTAATTTATTATCAATCAATCTTTAGATCGGCATTTAAAGTATTATTTATATATTGATAAAGCATTACATTTATTAACATTAAAAAGTGACAACTTTAACGAAATAATCATATATTATTATCTAAAAAATTATTCAACATAGATTTACAATATGATCAATAAATCGAATTAAAATTTTTATCAAAGTAAG